GTTGACTATTTCAACATTTTGGGAACTGCCGACGGCTATCTCGGGAACCGATAGATCTACAGCGCCGCGGAAAAGCGCATTCGATAGCCCTTTTACAGGCCTTTCTGATTAATGTCCTCAGATTTGACCTCAGGTCAACGGTTTAGCCTCTGGATGGCAAAAATTCCAAAAATAGCCGTTTTTACGAAACACGTTTATTCGGCAATAACTTTTGACTAAAAAAAGAGCTATGGCATTACTTTTGCCAGCATCGTGTTCCTCTCGTCGAGACACGTCGAATGAATTATAATTTGACCTTGAAAGGTCAACTTGAAAATTTGACCTCAGGTCCAGGTCATGACCTGACCGGAAAAGGTCATGTTGCATATCAGTCGATCCGCAACGTCGAGCCAAACACATCTAAGGCGTTTTCAGCGCTCTAGCACGCCTTTATCAGAAGTTATTAGCGAAAAACTGTTAGATTCTGCTCGTGACCTGAGATGACCTCGGGGACATAACGAGGGGTCACAATTGCCATTTTCCGGTTCAGTGTGTCAATGTTACCTACATTTCGATGTTTGAGAGTGTCTAGAATAGCGTTTGTGCAAAAAAGACGCTTTTCAATTTTCTCCCATTGACTTAGGTATTGTAGGGATCATCTATGCGATTTGTCATCTATGCGATTTGTCATCTATGCGATTTGTCATTTCATGTTGTCATTTTTATTTATATTGTCACCGCCTTATTAATCAATCTGTTACCTGTTGTCAATTGCGCGTCAAGTTTGTTTGTTATTTGTAAACCGGCCTGCCGCTGGCCTCAGCCTTCCTAGTAACCGCTGTGCCATACGCTATAGAACGTGTCGTGCAAAGGTCACGGCGGCACCCCTGAGGCGGCCGCTGCCCGTACGTTTAGGAGCCCATTGTCGTGACGTCATGACTGTGGACAAAGGTCGCGGTAGGGGCTCTCCCGGCAGCCGGACGGTGACTCATACGTTGAGCTTGTCTCTCGCCGCGCCTGCGGGCATATTGGTAGTACTAGGGACGGCCAGCATGTGACCGCGGCTTTCGGCGACATTGTCAATTCGTTTCTCGACTCTGCTGTTCGCTACAAGACAAATACACATAGAAAACGGCTCGGGCATTTGGAGAAGAGCGGCTACTCTGAGGCGAAGGAAGAACACGGAGATTCACACAAACGACCTGACTAGGTTGCACCGGCCACAGTCGACCGAGGTGGGCTTCTGCGCCCTTAAAGACGCCTCTGACTGGCCATTGCGCTGACACCCTGGTCGGACCACGGTCATTGATCGGACCCTGCCACTGGTTCGTGCTCAGGCTGCCTTAGCGGGTAGACCTGCTCGACCAGACGCCCCACTGGTGGGCGAGTGCTCGGTTCCGACTTTCACCGCCGGTCCAACAGCGTTCTGCTGGTTCCCGCCGATCCGGTTACGACACCGCAAGTGCCGTACCGACTCGGGCGTCCCAGGTGGGCGTAACGGTTACCACACCAGTTCGCGACCCCCAGGCTCTGTCAGCCGTCGTACGGCTCTCGGACGGACACTCTAATAGATCAGCCACAGATCAATAGATTGTCACGGACCGTCCGTCCAGCCACGCGCTACCCACAGCGCAGTACGACAGTATAACGGAGATTGGAGAGTCCGCAAAATTGACCTGACCTTAGGTCACCGATATCAAAATTCCGAGATGTTAATTTTATGGATAATTTTGCTCTAATCCATCGCTGAAAGTTTCAAAGCAATCGATCAGTCGGTGAAGCTATGACGAGCATTCTTATTTTTTCTGAGGTGAGGTCACTTGGCGTGACCTGGTGACCTGACCTAAGGCGACCTGGGTCTGAAATTTTCACAACATGTGCGGAAAAGATGCACAAACAGGTGTGCCAACGCAACTGTTTTGAGATATCTGCGAAAAACCGCAGGGGGTGTTCAAACACCCCCCGGCCCGGCGCGGGTTAAGAAAGGGCTCTATCTGATGCAAAAGACCGCTTGTTGATCTAAACACCACACCTCACTACAAGTACACACAATACACAGCGTCTCCTGTCATTCGCATCCATACCTACACGGGCCCTGCAAGAGTAAGAAATCTGCTTAAGGGCTGCCGTTAGTGGTGTCTGTCGCGTAACATAAGTGAGGAGTGGTGCAAGAACACTGCCCTGAGGCAGACCCAAGCGAAATATGAGGTGCCAACAGACAAAGGACCCTGTAACTGCATCGTTACCGTAGAGTGGAGTATATTTAGTCCTGCTTGGGTTAGTTACGCGTAACAATGCACAACGACGGCATATGGTTGTTGAGGTGCTGGAGGGCGTTTGCAGCGTCAGCGACATCTGACGAGACTGCCAGGCTGCAGTAAAAGGTCGCAGACGGCGCGGCGGTCGGTACCGACACCACATGTTCCATCGATACTGGCCCAAAGCTGCGACCGGCCACTCGCCAAAAGTCGAGAACATTGCCTTGCTAAATCAATAACATTAAACTTTTTGCGTCTCATGTCAATGTTACCAAAAAGGGGCTCGCTAGCGACTCTGAATCATTTTACATGCATTTTACTTGATATTTTTGTGGACATTTAATTTTCATATGACCCATTCATTGTGAATTTTAGCTGACCACCTTGCAGCTATCAGATATTGGCACTCGGACACGATGCTAAGAAAATGCATCGGCGCAGACTGTATAAGCCGGAAAAAGCCTTTTCAATCAATGGTTTTGACATCACCAAGGCTTTGGGACGCTTTGCTTCTATTCACAGGTTGACTTTTTAACGTCTCGAATTTACTGCGAAATCAAAGCCCTGTTCAGCAAACTCAGTATGCAAAGGTCTATGATGCAGCCTAAAAAAGAATGAGAAAGCAGGAGATCGACTAAACAATACCATGCGTTATTTGTTAATAACGTACGTCGTTCAAGCTTGTAATCAAAATTTGCGTAGGTGGGTTCAAGCATTAAGCACTTGGTCACATAATTGTAAAGCCAGTCTAACAGGACTACATTGTGGCAGCATCATCAATTACACCGATCCATACAGCCAGCTCCGTCGTAACAGTGCGGGAAATCAGCGGCGTTTTATAAACCGCGCCGTATACTCGTACATATCCTCGTGTTGGGGAAGGTGGATCACGCGAGGCACGCGGATGGCTATATAGCCGCGCTGCCATCGGCGGGGAGGGGAGCCGACGTTGCGTGGTAGCCGCATCAGCGGCCCCGACCGCGCCTGTCAACACGGCTGTAAAGTGGGTGATTGTTTCGGACCACGCCCGCCGGCGAACCGACCTGCCGAGACCCAGTGTTCCGCTGGAGCTGGAATTTGAACAGTGCAGACACGGTACCCAGGACCTTCTGAAGGGTCTGGTATTCGAGTTCTGTTCACCATCTGATTGGTGTTTGGCTCATGAACCGGACCTCCCGGCTCCCGCCCTGCACCTATGCTCGATCCCAAGGCTCTATGCCTAATGTTTTGGATCTGAAATGTACACAAGTTCAATTTTAAGCAATTTCAAGCAAATGTTGACGTTTTCATTGTTTGCATGACTTTTAAGCTTTTTACATCATACCCTCTCGACCGGCCACAGTGACCCGTCCCATGATACTTCCCCAATGTGGCTGCATTGCATGTCAGACCACGACGTCGGAAAAGTTAACATTTGCTCCTCGAGTCCCTCGAGTCGGGACTCGGGAGTGATGTCAATTCCTTTCCGGTCTCCTTGGCCTGGCTAAATTTGGATACATTTTAAGTCTATGCCTTGACTGCTATAGGATTATACACAGATAACAGTAGTACATGTACAGTCTGTCTTAAAAGTACCGCGCAAAGTGACGGTGGATCCATCGAGCCTCACTGAGGAAGGGCCTGCTAAATTTTGGTCACCGAAGCAATTGGCATCCTCGTCCATTCCCTAGGTCAATTGGTCGGTGACTTTCAAATTAAAGCAGGCCCTTTCTCGGTCAGGCTTGATGGATCCACCGTCACTTTGCGCGGTACTTTTAAGACAGACTGTACATTGTTATCAGTGGCGGATCCAGGGGGGGGGGCTGCGGGGGCTGGCAGCCCCCACCCAAGGAAAACTGGCGCCACTGCGCCGAAGGCGCAGTGGCGCCAATTTTCAATTCGCAACTCATCGGAGTGCCGCATACTAGGACTAGGATGCAAAAATCAGTCGAATAACGTCGTTTCAGTACGCTCCGCACCGATATTTCCAATCGTGTGGTGTCACTGTACATACTGATCCTGGGCGCCTCTTGTCAGGGCCACTGGGCGCCAATATTTCAGCGCCAATACGATGCGACTATGGCGCCCATCCGGGGCGTGGCGCCCAATTATGACCTGCAGCCCCTCCCCAGTGAAAATCCTGGATCCGCCACTGATTGTTATCCACAGATAACAAGTACTTCTGTTATCTGTGGATTATATAAAACGAATTTAGAGTTAAACGCACATTCCGAATACTAAAATGATTGCACCGGATTCGGATGCAGTCAGTTCAGTCGGGTTACTGCAGCACTAATAAGCGCATGGGGACTTTGTTATTCATTTTCTCGGACGCTTTCCCCCCAGAGAGCAAACAACAGAAACGAGGGTTTTTATGTGCATCGATATGCCAGATCGTTGAAGGCTTGAAGGTCAAGATGATTAACATATAGTTTTACACATGAATTCAAAGCATGCAAATTCCGAAAGTAGAAACTAGTGTTCGCCCTGCCTTACCGGCGGAGAGATCCAATGGACGATTCGTTGAGATGCGTCACACATGGCCAGGAGGATGCAGCCAGTCGGCCTGCATCGTCCCGAATCGGTAGACTGTCCCGCATTACACATCTGTGAGGCGGCACATTCTACGTTCCAGGTATTACCAATCTTAGCCGCGCTCGTGACATCACAAGTTCCAATATCCAGCTAGCCACATTCCTCGAATCAAACGGCCAGCCGAACGGAGCAGGCGCGTACTGTGACGCCCGGGGCACCGGCGGCGGCGACGCCGAGAGGCTCTCAAAGGTCAGCTGGGGCTGGCGCTGCGCGGACGTTCGACGGCCAGACGGTGCACGCCGCTCGCAGCAGCACGTGCTCCAGCCGCGCGCTGCAGTCGGTGTCTGTGTCAGTGTTGGAGGGGTGTCGATCTATCGGTGCAGTGTATAAACACTATCTTTTGGTAGCGATAGCAGTGCTAAAACACTGCTGCTACCGGCACCAAGAAATCGCTGTAGCCGGGGAGGTCATAAACGGGTGCCGTTGGACTTTACGCTGCGACATGGAACTCTGGAGGTGAGAACAAGCATTGTGGTGAATTTTTTGTCGTTATACATAGTAATGCCCTCTTTCATCGATGACGTTCTTGATGAAACGATGAACTGCCGGTAAACGGTAAACTCTTGAGCCTTAGCTAATGACATCACAATGAATTGAAAGATCTCGTCTTTATGCTTTTACATTTGCTTTATATTTTTAAGTAATCTGGTGTGCCTAATTCCAACGGTTACACTATGAAAGGGCTCTTAGCCCTCAAACAATGCCAATGTACTCGTACTGTTGGTGGTGAGCGAGCTGGATTAGGCAGCAATGGTTACAGATACGGCGTTTGAGTCTCTTTGACAAGCTGTGCTAAGGTCGTCGTCCTTTCTTATATCACTTTTTAGGGCAAGGTAAAGGCACTTATTATTGTCAAAATACACAAAAATAATCACTCACTCCTACTCTTTCCTAAATCAAAGGCTTCACGCCAAAATTATTCAGACAGTGTTTTGGTATTTAATATTATAATTTTTTTTTCTAATTCGAGGGCATTACCAGGCAACCAAATCTGCAGTTGAAATGTAAAAATCGAAATCAATGGTAAGCACTACCCATCGAACATCTTGAATTACTCATAGATTAAACAGACGGTGACGGATTCTGATTAAAATTGTTTGCTGATGTATATGGCGGGTGCTTGTAATAAACAGACGGTAACGGAGTCATGATTAAAATTGTTTGCTGATGTATACCTATGGCGGGTGCTTGTAATGCAAACGGAACTATTACTTGTTTTCCGAAAGTAGATCTGGTACAATTCAACAATGTCACTTATGACTATCGTCAAAAAGCGACTCTAAGAGCCATTTACACAATGATCACGTCTTTGCACTGCGTCTTTCTTCGCTAAGTTAAAAGTGGCCAGTGGCCACCTGTGGAGTTTGATGGTAACTCTAATCACTGGCTCTGCGGGGCTGCCTAATTTAGGCATAATGTCCACCTGTCCCATTAGTTCCAACTTTTCAGCCCGCAGTGTGATTGTGAGCTAGCGTGACTGGACGTCGTCTTTGTTCGCACTATCAACATGAGCTCGGCCACCGACACCTCGCTGAGCCGCCATTTGTACGATGTCCACCGCATGTCGTTGGGCTGGCCATTTCGACCACCGACTCATAAAGAAGTTGGAAATGCGAACTGCAATTGTCTAAGTCTTGGAAGGACTTATTACATTATATAAGTCTTGTAGCAAACATGATATGGCGTATCAGTGCAGTTTTAAAGAAATAAGCTTTAAATGGTTAGGTGGGTAACGCTTTATCTGGTGCGTCAGATATTTCGTGCAAGTTTATTTCGCACATACTAACGAATCCTTATAGGTCTCAATGATATCAAATCCTGATGAAATTTCTGTTTTGTCAAGCATAAACATTTCTGTTCGTTTTTTTCTTCTTCTTCTTCTGCCGTTTGAGGTCAGGAATTTATACTAAGACTGAGCTATAATACGTGATGGCTCTTTTCAAGTTTTTTTTTTATTCATTGCTTTGATGGACATCAAACACAATATGACTTCATCTCTTTTTAATTTGTCTTTCCATCTCTTCGTCTTAAGGCTGGAATTTGCTGGAAAGCGAAAACAGTGCGAATAGGATGCTGCCAATATCGCGCAACCTTATGAGATTAACCTGATATAAAAGCAAATCAGACAGGTGGACTAGTCATGCTGATAATTTCTAGAGATTTAATAATGCTGCTTTAATATGAGCGGGAATTAAAAACACAAGAGAAGGATGACAGCTTATTTTTGTCTGTTTCCCTATCCAACGAAAAGAAGACACAAAAATTACTGTACTCACCGACGCTGAAAGAAAATGTAAATCCGCACTGTTTGGAATGCATAGCACCGACATAGGCTATATCACTCCGTGATAACCCAACTCAACCAACAAGGACGCCACTCCCCAGTCCGCCTGTCTCCATCTCGCCGTGATTTATCCGACCTCCAGAGAGAGGAGGACGTCACGTGGTGGATCTCTGGGTGGTCCCGTCGACGGTGACGCTGAGGGTCCGTCGGCGGCGACGCTGATCCCGTCACGTCAGCGACGGGCCGCCGCCGGCCGGCCCCTCTCGTTAGTCGGGCCGGAGTCGGACCCGTGTCGCGGCGGGGATGACGAGTCGTCGGATACGACACCCGCACTGACTCATCTCGGGGAAGGTGGTGCCAGGGAGGGCAGGGGTGAGTGGGTCGTCTCGAGAACGCCAGGAGGCGCAGGAAGTGTAGCTGTGAGCCGTCTCTGTGCTGAAAGGACATTTGGGAGCGTGTGAGCCCGCTAAAATCAAGAGTGGCTCAGAAATTCCGTCTTACGGCAGGACAGACCGTTTCCGGGAGGTTTATGAGCAGTACCAGTACCTACTCTGCGGCTCGTGCCCACCGCCCTGATCCGCGGATCGGTCCAACAGATCTCGGTCCTTCGTGGGCCGGAAACGACTAAATCTGTCTCCTCTGTCTGTCTGTCTGTCTGTCAGTATCTCTCTCTCTCTCTCTCTCTCTCTCTCTCTCTCTCTCTCTCTCTCTCTCTCTCTCTCTCTCTCTCTCTCTCTCTCTCTCTCTCTCTCTCTCTCTCTCTCTCTCTCTCTCTCTCTCTCTCTCTCTCTCTCTCTCTCTCTCTCTCTCTCTCTCTCTCTCTCTCTCTCTCTCTCTCTCTCTTTGTCTCTGTCTCTGTCTCTGTCTCTGTCTCTGTCTCTGTCTCTGTCTCTGTCTCTCTCTCTCTCTCTCTCTCTCTCTCTCTCTCTCTCTCTCTCTCTCTCTCTCTCTCTCTCTCTCTCTCTCTCTCTCTCTCTCTCTCTCTCTCTCTCTCTCTCTGTCTCTCTATCTCTCTCTCTATCTCTCTTTGTCTATCGTGTGTTCATGTGTCTGTGTGACGGTGACCTTTAGGGTTCGGTGTTCTACCAAGCCGTACTGACAGACAGATGAAATAGTCCTGGTGGATTAGACACAATATTGGAGCTGCTGTTGAAGCGTTTTTCATTTTCGCACTAGGCTGTCACAGCCAACAGACTTATTTGAATTCTACTGCTCCAAGTTGTCAGAATTCACGCAGTTTCACAGGCAAAAATCGGAAAGGATTTATGAAGGTATGCACGCACTTAAGCATCAGCTTTAGAAATGCTCCAAAGAAAAAGTTGGAGGAAACAAACTGTTCTTAGGTGTCTTAGGAAAGCATCAGGTCTGCCCCCCCCCCCAGCCCGAAAGAAGTTCCCGCGCCACTGGTAAGGCTTGATAATTACAAAGACTAATGTCTCATGTAAGTCGCGTTGACCTTATGTATTTTTATAGAAAAAGTGTTCTATCTAAATGTCTTTATAAAGTTTTGCTGAGTATATTCTGCTCTTTTTTAGACCTTCAACGCCACTCACAGCTGTCTCAGTCGACACGTCTCTGTTAGCGCCATGTTAAATATCGCACTTATTAGGGTTAGCACACTTACATATTGTGCATGTCGATCGCATGAAGGTGAGTGCTCGTAAGTATATTTAAGGATGCTGGAAAAGTTGGAAGTCCTGACAACGAACGCTGTGCACAAATTTTATAGAAGCGTGACATCATTTGCCCGTTGGCCGTCGGGAACATTCAGGATGGTGCTCCTTTAGGGTTCTATTATGCCGGTACCTTCTCTGTTGACAATTCTACACTGCGGTCGTCTGGGGAGAAATGAATGCACTTACCTCAAACGCTTTCAAGTCTGCTTGGTAAATAAACACGTTTTTTATTGTTTGCGAGAAGTACAAGAGAGACATACGGCCGTCTTTTGTGGTTGCCGGTGTATGTGTTCGTGTCTGCTTCGTGTGTGTGTCAATATCACGTCAGTGCCGACATCAGTTTCTGTGTCTGCATTAGTGTCCGTGTCGGTGATCGTATCAGTGTCAATCACAGCACTGTCGTTGCTGGCAGCACCGTTGGTTCCGTTGTCAGTGTCAAAATCAACGTCAGTATCAGTCCCACTATCGGTAACGGTATCAATACCACTATTTGTATCAGTATCAGTACCATTATTGCTGACGGTATCAATGACCCAGCTGTGCCAGACGGCTCCGGCGCCCGGCTGGGTGTGGCCCGTCGTCCCGACTCTGTAGTTCGCTGCCGTTGGCTGGCGGTACCATCCACCGTTCACGGGTCGCCGCAGTTGGGACCACGGCCGTGGCGCACGGCGGCTCGGGCGTGGTCGGAAACAGGGGCCTGCTGTGGGCGCTGAATGGCCACAGTGCTCACTCATACGGATCGGAATTCTTCCGGGGACTGACGGATTCAGCGTCAGTCAGGAGAGTTTTCTATTTTACTTTAATCGGTGGTACTGGTAGCATTCGAGAGGAACCTCGAAAAGGGTTATCGTCATAGGCGGCGGAACCGGGAGGGCACCGGGGCACCGTGCCCCCCTTTGATTTTGGCATTTTAACATTAGCCCTATGGGGGTTGCATGGAAAGAATGGGACCAAAAGTCGGCAGCTTAATTGAAGGTGTTCCGCCGCTTCTGGTTATCGTAACTGATTTTTGCAATAAATTCTCCATTTTTATAGCAATCCAAAGTACCTACACCAAAGAGACTTTGATCTATACGGACATTTGGGATCGGATGCAACATTTGCGGTACGGGCAAATCCAGGGGCCCCTCTGCAAAGCAAGAGGGCTTGCCTAGCCCCAAAGTCGTTAGCTATTCTAAGGATGTCTCAAACGCATCCGTCTTCCAATTATAGTAAGGTGTGCACTGTGCGCGGAAAACGAGCTACGCTGCGATTATTGCTAATAATCAGTGATCAACTAGCTCTTAGCTCGTAATTTGATAATAAGGCTTCTCCAGGCCTTCATTAGCACCACGAACGACCTTTGTTATCTGAGTTAGCCATAAAGTTCGGAGCCGTCAAATTAATGTAAATAGCCCAAATATGGCCCAGAGGATGAGTTTTGATGAAGGCATAGTCGCTATGTATGCATGTAAGCTAATTTAATGACCCTGTATCAGCCATATCTGAGCCGATGGCCCGAGCCTGACGGAAGAGAAAGGGCACGTTTCCAGATTACTGACAAACACTTCACAAAAGTAACTTGATAGCAGAGCAAGCCAATTCTGATTTAATAATTATTTGAATGGATGATGCATCGATTTGTTCCAATATCAATCTTACCACTAACGACAGGATTACGAGTTTTCGGACGTTTGGATGTTGTTATGACAACATTGAGAGCATTGGAGAGCTGTGTTACATGACAAACAACCACTTCCAAAGAGCACAACTCTGATTTAGGTTGGAGTGTTGTTTGTAGCTAGCATTTATCAGAACTGAAGAGCTCCACAACGACATACTTTACGACTGGTGACTTCCGACATTCAATTTAATTCCAAACCACTCGCTCAGTTACCCACCGGAAGCCGTGTTTCGACTTCCAACCAATCATATATTTTTTGTCCTTGCTATGACATGAAATACCGCAGAACGATTCATCTTTCAGCGTGAGCCTTTCAATGCCACTTTATGTCAGCGCTGCATTTCATCAACATGCCCAGTAAATATTCCAACCAAACCAACTCATTGTAGATTACGTCAAAGTACAGAGCTCTTGCGTCCGTCGCTCATATTCTATCCGCGAATATTTTTGACAATGGGCCGTAGTTATCCCGGCGTCAATCCGCTATACCGAGCGATCTTTTTCTGGGGATGAGAGACGCTCCATACTGGAGCTGTCCTAATTTGGACAATGGACATATATCTCCATTTGGCCGCCTCGGCCAAGATTTACCGTCTTCCGCCCGACCGAGCCGGCGGCGGTGAGTGTCCCGGCCGGCCGCGTCTGGCTGCCGCTGAGCCCCGGCGTCGGCACAGCCCCGGGCGGGGACAGTCCGCGGGGGTCGGGAACCCCGAGAGCCCCGCGCCGGCGCTGCCACCGCCGCCGGCGCGACCGCACCGGTAGCCGCTCCCCATTAGACAATTAATTCTGCAGCTCGACTGTGCTGGCCGGCCGTACATCAGCGGTGGCAGCTCTCGGCGGTGGTCTGTCCGTCGCGCTAACTGCCGCCCCCGCCCCCGCCCCCGCCGCCGCCGCCGCAGGGCCGTCGGCGCCGCCTTGTGACATGATGACGCTGCATGATGGGCGAGAAGGTCAACAGCGAGAGCCAGCCGCGCGTCAGCGTCACCTTCATCAATGCGCCCTCCTCGTGGCGGAAGGCCCAGCAGCGACTGCGGAAAGTCGGCGGCCACCTGGGCCTCATCCTGCTGCTGATGGTCTACACGGCCGGCGGAGCCAAGGTCAGGGGTCAGACAAAGGTCACATGATGTTCGTAGGCTACGGGTATTTGGTGTTCATATGTTGCTGAACGTCACACAGCTGCCATTGCTAGATCGTCATCTAACGTCACTACCCATCACTGGCTGACAGATAATCAGCGTGTGAGTGTCATATCATCCCGCGCTGAGCTGTACGCCCACCTGCAGGTGTTCCAGGACATTGAACTGCCTCGGGAGGAGGCGGACGTGGCCGTGGCTGTGACCAGGGTCATGTCCCATCGGAGTCGGCTCCTCTTCACAATCGCAAACAGCAGTGAAGTGTCCAGCTCCGAAACCATGCTCAGGTCAGTCTGCCAACAACAGAGGTTTCTTCTAATGCAGCCTTGCTGTTCAAATGCTCGTAATAATGTTTTTGTTCACATCCACCAGCACCTGGTCAAGTAGACTTCATATATAGGTTTGAGGAAACTAATTATGATTTTGATTGAACGAATAAACGTGTAAGTAGGTACATGAATACATAACCCAATTTATTTTCAATATCCCTGCTGATGTTCAAAGAATATGGAATTCTTCGGTTCGCTTTAACTCTTCTACCAGACTATGTCCGAAAGAGATGACTACTTTTTCTTTGTGTGGCTGCAAAACCCAGCTCACGTTTCCCTTTTGGTCGACTTCACGAGCTAATATCACCTCCCGTTCTATCCCGCCTAATCCTCCGCTGGCGGTCAGCTCCCATCTTCCGTTCTCCGCGAGCACAGTTGGTCGTTTCCGGCCGGTTTGCGGCGGTTCCGGCTGTGACCGACCCCCACCCCTCCCCTCGGACCCCTCGGGTCGCACAGGGATGCCCCTGTGATTGGCTAGCGTCGGGGGCCGGTCGGCTTTACGGCGGTTTTACGGTCGCCGGTCGGTCTCACCGGTCCAACCGTGACGGACCGACCGGCCGAGCTCCGGCCCGAGCGGACCTGGCGCCGGCGGCAGAATTAGATGACTACTAGCTAATGAGGGTGCTAACGCGGACTCTGAGCTGGTGGGAGCCGGGTGCCGCGGATTGTTCAGTCGACAGATGGACCCGGACGGTAGTCAGGAGATAATTTGACGAGTCAATGGGTGTCGACGAATGGGAGGGAGGCGATTGCCTCATTGCCAATTACTGTCTGTCGTCTGAATATTTTCTTAAATGTAGTCCATCTAAGAGACAATCAAAACCATGCGGCCATACATGATACAACCAGTTACTTCCTTAGGTCGTGGTGGCTAAAGCAATCCTGCAGCACTTGGAAATATTATAACGATTTAGAATCTTTCTTATTTTTCACTAGAAACATTTTATTGGCCATCCATTTTACCGACTGGCTTCATTGGCTTCTATATTCATGGGTATACTTTTATATCCCCTTGGGGAGAGTTAATATTGTTCCCATAGCGCACGCCCGAACATTCAATTTTGTCTGCCCAGTTAATTTAATCGCAAAGTCTAATCCCCTTCCCCCAGTACCATTTTAAGTTTGGTCCGTTCCACCGGTGTCAGGGCGTGGCCCCGGCCGCGAAACTCTCTCCCTCTCCCTCTCTTTCTCCCGCTCTTCCTCGCCGTGGCCACAGATGGGCTCGGTCACGCGGTCATGTGTTTTCCATTGCAGTCGCGTGTCGCGCCGCATGGTCCCGCTTTATTGGCGCACCACTGGCCGTGGCCGACCGTTGGACAGCCCGCTCTGAGCCGTGGCTGTAGACTGGAGAGCAGCACAGCTCAGATCAGCCGCTCGACTGGGCGACTCTTCTTTCGTCTGTTTCCGCCCACTGCCACTAGCAGACACCAGGCTCGCCATTCTACCGGGTTTTCCGTTACTCAGCCCGACCGTGGAACAGACGCCTTTTCCCGACCGCCATGTCGCGTCGGCGAGGTCGGCGGATGGTCTGACGTAATAGCGAGGTCACCGTCGCGTCGTCGTTGACCGACCTGAGACGTGACTTGGTGCAGAGACGCGGCTTGGAGACCACAGCTGGATCGGCGAGCCACCACGTTGTGGTGTCGTTACTCGTTAACCGTCCGCCTGGTCGATACAATGGAAAGTTGGCGCCTCGGGTGCGACGAGTCTCCCCAGTCTCCGAGCGCCGCTGGCGGCTACAGCTGGAGACGGAACTGGGTCTTATCTCAGCCGCGGACTGCGCCGCGCTCCGCTTACGTCGACAGTTGTGGCGCGCTCCCGGCGCGGCTGAGTGGGCTGGATAACTAATTAGGCTGATTAGAAACTTTAGTAGGGACGCTGGATGACAGCTTCAGGGTGCGACGTGTTGTTAGGAGATTAAAATCGGCCAACTTCCGCAGTGAGTTATGTCAACTTTCTCTCTTGATTATACTATGGTGTATAAAAGTGCATTACATGATACCGTGTGGCTAACTTTATCTAAATCCCAAGGGCAGTGATTGTGTCCATGATCATTATTGATTCATTGGCGGCAAACATGAGTTGGGAAACGGATTACACTAATCAACCATCGGTGATAGGGCCATTCTCATATCGACCACATCGGAGCACGTTGAATACGCCATTTTGCCTGCTAAGAGAAGTGTTCTGCGCTAAGAACGGTGTGAATATTGTTAGGTACCCAGGTACCTACCATTTTTCGCTATCCTTCAATTCAGTCCCCCATACCAGGATGGAAGCAAGGATGGAAGTAGTTATGCATAATATCTTGCGGGAACCTTGTCTCCTTTGCTTTGCTGCCATTTCTATCATTAGAGCTACTGAGCTTTTCGTACCAAAAACGAATACTTCATCCTTTTTATAGGTGGTTTGACCCCAACTATGCCTCAGAAATTATTGGTAAGGTAATGTGCAGCGTGGCCAAACTTGTTCGTGTTGTTGCTTCCGGGCTGGACCCGGGCGGTCAGAAGGGACCGAAGACACTTCTTCAGGGCGTTCAAGTTAGTTGTTGGAGGAGAAGCTAGCTGATACGCTGAAACCCACGGGACCCTACTCACAAAAACATGTTTCACGCTACTGCGTTCCATAATGTCTGCCTCGAAGTGCTGCCTTTTGCCGTTGCCACTATATTGTAGCTCGGTCTACGCATTACTTCGCAAATGTTATTTTCGTCACCTGTTGTAAACCTCGTTTTCCCGTCAGCGTCTGCCTTCTCCTCTCACCAAGTGCCGAGCTGAGAATTAGGTTTGTTGTTATTTGGGTTTCTCGCACCTTCTCCAATAATCACCGAACGAGGCCTGTTATGATTATGGCCAGGTTGTGCTGGCTTTCTCATCTAGCTTTCCGCCGTGTTTACCGCTTATCCATGAAGTTAGATAGTTCCAGTGACTCGGTGACCTCTGTGGCTGACCTTGTGACACTGTCTGACCCGACAGAGAGCTGCTGACCGCCTATGAGGCCGATCTCCTCGGAGCGGTGCGGTCAGGCGTTGACCTGACTCCGGGCGAGGACCGGTATCAGTATAAATGGAACTACATACATTCCTTGTTCTTCTCTTCGACGGTGCTAACTACTATTGGTAAGTAAAATCAATCCGGCTCCCTAGAACAAAGCCCGCTGATTTGATAATGGCTTATTAAATGCTTATACTTATATGCACTCCTAATTAAAAGAATCAAAAGTGATCCAGTCAAACCAAACAGACGAATCTATGTTCCTGTTTGCTGGTTCCTTTTCACTCTGTGTCAAATTTAAGTGTCGGAGCATAGCATGCTAGCTCTCATTTTGTCTGACTGTGTCAGAGCTGACGTGGCACACACACAAAAACACTTAATTCACCTCTGTTTTGGCAACGGCACCGGAGTCGGCTGTCGAAATTTGTTCCGACAGCGTGACCTGCTGTCGACATTTGTTCTGGCGCAGAGGCGATACGACTTCTCGAGTCACCGACAGCAACATTCACCCCCCACCCACCTGCCCCCCCCCCCCCCCGGGCGGTGTTTTTTAGCGGGCCGGCCGGCGGGGCTGGCAACCGGTCTCGCCGCCGTGACGCGGTCGCCGCGCGGCTCTACCGTGATCGTCTGGTGCGTGCGCCACTAGCCGTGAACAGAGCCTTCTTTGTGACCCCGGTGTCAGTGTTCCCGCCGCGGACAGGCGCTGGGTTTGTGTAGTTTGGCGGCGGGACTCCGGATGAACACAGCCGGTGCCCGGCAGGTGGTGGTAATGGAGATTAGATGAGGAGGAAGCTTTCAGAGAGCAAGCACAATAGGTCACTGATGTTAGGCTATTCCTGTAGTTTCAGGCGGTTTACATAGTATCCGAGCGATCAGAATAGACTCATCCAATACCCTTGAAGGCTGGCATCGGGATGGGTCAGTGTTATAGTGCCGCATTTTTGTCTGTAACCACCAGTATAACGCCTTTTGGGGCGACTAACGGAGCGAGCGAGAGGGTGGGCCTCGCACGTGCGAAATCGCGAGGGGGTACCTCCAGCTGACTTGTGCACGGCACCCTACTAACCGGTCTCTAGCGATGTGCCAAATTTGAGCACAATCGGCCCAGCCGCTCTCGAGATCTGGAAGCGGCACCCTGCACGTGCGCACGTGCAAAATGGGTCCCAACTGACTTGTGCACGGCACCCTACTAACCGGTCCCTAACCATGTACCAAATTTGAGCGCAATCGGTCCAGCCGTTCTCGAGATCTGGAATCGACCCCTGCACGTGCGCACGTGCAGCAGCACCCCAACTCTGGCACATAGATATGCATTGCCTAGTGGGTGCCTACCTACATGCCAACTTTCAGCGCAATCGGCCTAGTAGTTACCGAGATATTGCAACAATTACAAAAGTGACACCTCTTCGTTTTCCACGTGGCACGTGCATAAGGGGTCACCCACATGCATCGGGAATAGTGCAATACTTGGTAGAAGGAATGAAGCTACCCTACAAAAATTACCGCGTGTAAATCGGTCAAGTGGTTGCTGAGATATAAGCGTCGCAAAAGCGTGACCACTGCCTGGACGGGGGATTCCGGTTGAAGCGCAGTCACGTGACCTGCGATATCTCGGTGCGCTCTAAGCGGAAGGGGTGTGCCCTTATAGGTTCGTTAACTTTTGAGCCTATTTATTTGTGTCGTAACGATTGCAAATAATTTCAATCGTCGATGGACAGAGAATTGAAAAAGCATTACGAATATGTATATTTTGACTGGAAAATACGTCAATGGCAGCCTGCAGCCTATTTGGCACGGGAAGCTTTTTTCCGGAATTGTCAGTACTAATTGCGCAAAACTACGCCTAAACTGGAAAAGATGGTTCAGGTAACAGCGCAGTGTGTTTATACATACGGTTTCTTTAAGCGCACTGCACTCATTTCGGATCAAGTACGCCCTGAATGGATATTTCTTTTTTTTTACCTATACCATTTTCTTTTACCTTCCAACGAAGCTGCCATATGAAGCACTTTCACAGTATCGATGCATGCAGGCCTGTAGATCATAATGGATAGGTACATTATTGTAAATTCCACATATTTTACTACGCATATAATTATAATTTCCTAGAAAAAGAATCGTGATATCCCCTTCCGAAAACGAAAATTCATCGTTTTTTTCCACTTATTCTGCCTCCGATTCCATTTCACTGGCCTTCTCAGGCTTGAAACGGGACCTCTTAGACTGGAACACGGGCCCTCTCCAGCTTGAAACGGGCCGTGCTTTCCAGCTCAGGGGCGTCATCGACGTTGTGTTCGGAGGGGTCGCGACCCTGCATTTCTTATGAAACCAGAGCAGTCGGACCCCACACTTTGAGCACTGGTACTTATCTATGAAAATAAATTACCTATTTCTTATGTAAATCTAGTGCTCACCCCCAAAATAGTGGGTAAAATCAGGAGCTTTATGGGCTTTTGTGGGATTTACTTTGACTGACCGTCTGGCCTGGCCCCCTCACTTGTATTTTAGGGCCTTGGTTTTCAGGTGGCGTGCGTGGCTCGCAATTCGCATCGTCTGTTGTGCCGTTGTGCCGCGTTTATTCTTGTGGGAGCCGGAGGTAAGTAAGATTTGTTTTAATAGAAAATGTTTTTGTGTGATCAAGTATATCTCACTTTCCATCTTTTGTCTCGTAGCGTGTTGCCGTCAGCCAAAGGGGTCCATCTCTGATCTCCCAATGATTTCGAATGCACACCACCTCCCACATCAATATAACGTTAGATCATTCTCATTATTAGGGGCAGCAATTGAGCTGCCCCGGTCTCAGCATTCTGATTTGGGGCAGGACTTTGTCTGCCCCGAAAATCTCGTCTAGCTCCCTGCCACATTTTGCAGACTGGTAGGTAGATACCTATCTCAGTTCAAGTTCACAATTTATTTTAGGGATCTACGCTGAGTTGGGGAAACTGTGGTTATCTGTTTCATTTTTGGAAGCTTCCATTTTTGGAATGCTCTTTTAAAATAGAAGGGTTGTGACGGCCGATATACTTTGGTTTAGTAGTCGCGACTCGTAGAGCAGCACTTTAACGATGTTCTGCTGCGTTTTAGTGTCGCCGCATTGACCTCTATAGAGGTCAATGTGTCTGCGGCGCGTCTGAGACAAACGCGTCGGCGTGGTTTTTGACTTTTTGATTAGATCTCGGCCGAAATCAGAGAAAGATAGGGCAAGAACAAGGTAAGATTACTGTTTAAAACGTTGCAAACAGGTTGCAAAGCAAATGTATATGTTGCACTCAAGATTCTCGTTGCACTACTTTGGTTACATTATTGGCTGCAATTTATTTGGTTGAACGTCAGACGGATCTGCATCTCGTCGGCTTCGGAGTTTGAAGTGTCTCGTCGTCTTATCATTTTCTTTCCCCTTTTCCCTTGCTACCCCATTACCAATACACGTAGTATTTAATTTATTTTATTTGTTATCATTTTGGGTTTTGAGGCTTTCAGCCGTAACAAAGGGCATTTTCCAAAGATTGGGACGCTCCTTCCATAAATGGGACGTCTGGTAAATGACATTTCACAATAAATCCCGACCTAACACATTATTGGGTGAAAAGTTCCAACGGTACCTGTTCAAACATTAGTAAAAATGTATAGTATAGGTGTTTTTCGATGTGAAATATTGTTAATTATTTGCAAACATCGAAAAGCTAATAAAATTCTGATTTTCCTGTTACTAGTTAATTTAGTCTAATTTCAATAACAACACAATTAGGTTTTGGTTGTTGATGTAGGTGGTAGGTGCATTTTTGGTAAGTTTAGGTTAGGTTTTGTTAATTTAGGTTAGGTTAGGTTTGGTTATGTTTTGTCCGAGCTATTGGTGCCTATACTTATCAGTGTTCATAATTTGGTTTAGGTGTAAATTATCTGGCTATTTTAGGCGGTTATTTATGGTAACACCTTTGGTTAACATTAATCAATAGATATAACTAATCTAGCCACAGTGGAAATGTTCGGTACTATTGAAAAATTTCGACCTATTGTAACGGTTGCTACCATTGCCACTGACACTATAGAAAGAGCGCTTGTTACTTACCAGAACCTGCTTCACGCACGCCACCACACGCTTCCCATTTTTTACTACACACAAATATTCTCAGGCCATGCGGCCAGTAGTCGCCTGTGGCTGCATTGGAATCGCCTAGAAAGTCCAATGTAATTTGGCAGAAAAGACCAAGATAGCGTGTAGAGATAGCATATGGAAGCTCATTTGTTGAGTTGTAGGTACTAATAATTTATCCAAATTATTTGTTTTAAATAAAAATCGATGGAATTTGTATAAGTACCACAGTTCCATGAAATACAGTCATTACCATTTAATGCACCAAGTTCTTTGGCATACCTTGGACATTTTCCGCCTAATTATATTCCAACTAGAAATGGCACTTGGCAGCCACGTGACGTCATGGGTTATGACAAAGTGGCTTTTTGAAGTACCGTAAAACGGGGTGTTAAGGGACAGTTTTGAGGCGTTTTGTTATATAACTTAAGAAGGGTTGGGGATAGAAGCATCAACTTAGCAGCATTTTATGTGGAATTTGGTGCTTTACAAGCCTGCTACATAAATTTTTTTTTAAATATATACATGCATATTATTTTTTATTATTTTTCATCACTGTCCCCTGGCACCCCAATGTGGGGTGTTAAGGGACACCTATATTATTCCAAGAAATGGTCATCAAATGCTCACAATTTGGGTGTGAAAGGCTACACAATTATTTATTGAAATGTTTTGCATATTCTGTCACAAAACAAGTCAGGTTCATTCACCACTAATGGCCTTATTAGCCAATTACATGTAATGCGGTTTACGCTTCTGGAAAATGTGCTAATTATAAGGTAAACAGAACCAAAAAGTACCCTTTTGTCATCAACAAAAAACCATTTTGAAGCTAGTCACTTGTCATTATGTTGCCCTATTTGTTTTGGCCTTTTTATGATGACATCACATTTCATTGACCCATCATTGTTAAAGAGTGTTAGGTACGGGGCTTTTGAGGTGTATTGTTATATAGCTTAAGATGTGTTAGAGATAAAGCATGAACTTGCCAGCATTTTATGTGGAATTTGCTGTTTTCCATGCCTACTGAAA